GGCTAGGATCTGGAACCAACTTCCAAGAGAAGTGGTGCTGGCTCCTACCCTGGGGGTCTTTAAGAGAAGGCTAGATGAACACCTTGCTGGGGTCATTTGACCCCAGTACTCTTTCCTGCCATGGCAGGAGATAGGACTTGATGATCTGCTTAGGTCCTTTCTGACCCTACAAACTATGAAACTATCCCAGCCTGCTAAAGGAACTAGCAGGGGATATCTTGAATTCCGTGGCAATGATCTTCACAAAGCTGAGAGAGATGGGTCAGGTGTCATTGGAGTGGAAAAGGGCCAAAGTAGTACCCCTCTTTAAAAAAGGCCAAAAGGAGGACCCGAGAACTACAGACCAGTCAGCCTCTCCTCAATACCTAAGAAATTACTGGACCTTATCATAAGGAAGTCCATTTACAAGCATTGGGAGGAGGAAAAGCTGATTACAAGTACCCATCATTGATTTACAGAGGAAAAAACTGTGTCAAACTTGATCTTCTTTGTTGACTGTAACTACTTGGGTGGAATCAACTGGACTTCAGGAACACTTTTGATAAGGCCCCACGTGGCCTTTTCATAAACCAATTGGAGAAATGTGGGCTGGACAAAGCTACTATTAGGTGGATGGACAACTTGCTTAATAGCCAGAAGCAAAGGGTAATTATAAATGAATCCAGGTCAGAATAGCAAGACGCTTTGATTGGAGTCCCACAGGAGTCTGTGCTGGGCACAGTGTTGTTCAGCTTGTTTATTAATGATTTGGTTGTTGACATATAAAGCTTTTTGAGCAAATCTTCAAATGACACAAAAATGGAAAGGATTTTGAACGCATTGGAGGTCAATTGGAGAAGCACAGTTCAGAAGTGTCTTGATAAATTGGAAAGCAAGGTTGAAGCTAACGGAATGAAATTCAGTGCTGACAAATGCCAGGTGCTTCACCTTGGGAAGAATAATCAAAATCCAAATATAAAATGAATGGCATCTGGGTGGATGGTAGTGCTATGGAGAAGAATGTGGGAGTCTTGGTAGATCCCACACTCAACATGACTGCAGTGTGATGCAGCTGCACAAAAGACAAATGCAGTTTTAGGATGCATCAATAGAAATATTAGGTGCAAGGTATGGGAGATGATGGTGCCTCTCTAGTCAGCACTGGTTGGGCCTTATCTAGAGTATAGTGTGCAGTTTGGGCCTTCACATTTTAAAAAGAATGTGGAGAAGTCAGAGAGGATCCAGAGGCAGGTAACAATGATAAATGTCTTGGAAGACGAATCATATGTGGAGAGGTAGGAGCTAGGCATGTTCAGTTTGTTGAAAAGGTGTTAAGAGGGGACATGATCATGGACTTTAAATAATTGAAGGGCTGCCATAAAGAAGAAGGGGAACACCTTTGTCTCTTTTCCTGAAGAGAGTTAGGACACAGACCAGTGACGTTGAAGTTGCAGCAAAGTAAGTTTTGATTGGATATCTGGATAAACTTCTTCACTATTAAAATAGTGAGACAGTGAAATAGACTGCCTAGGGAAGCTGTGGACTCTATCACTGGAGGTGTTCAAGAAGAGGCTGGGCAGCCACTGGTAGCGGATGATCTAGCCATAGCTATCTGTGCCTATGACCCCTGCCACACATTGCATTTAAGATGAGATTAACCAGTTAATCACTGTTTAAAGTTGCAACCGGATGATATGTTCAAGTATTTAATGGTGTGATAAAATGAGGAATAAGTCACCAATTTTTTTTTACATAAAAAACATGTAGTAACTTTGTGGCTCCTTCCTTAAATGCAAATCTTAAATGCAAAGTTTCATAATACATAGACATTTTCAAAATATGTTTATGACACCAGGATATTTTCTGCAATCCCCAGTGTGGTTGTGGTCATTATTCAGTGCTGCAGTAGCTATGAAGCTTTCTCACAGCGTTTGTTGGATCTTGAATTATCCCATTATTTGTTTTGTCAAAGTTTCATTCCATTTGAGGGCACCAGAAATAATTTAAAAAGAAACTTATCTTTTGTGAGTTCCAGAGTTCTGTGGTGTTGGTGGCTGTAAGCGTTTAACACGTGGAATTTTAAGTTGTTACCTGACATAAATTTGGTAGATCTGAAAGACAAGTGCTAACTTTAGATTTATGCCAGATGTTTCAGAGTACCCTCTTAAATGGTCAGGCAAATGTTAGCTTAAATTTTTGGGGAGGAAAAAAATGGAATTTTGAGGTCATCTATGCAGTTCACCTTTAAATCATACAGATAAATTATAGATGGTTTCATATGAAAATCAGTTGTGCCTCTGTTTGTACTGCCCTGGTAACTGAGATTGTATTCTCTATTGCACAACCACCATATTAGTTAAGTAAACTCAGATACCGGTTTTGATTATTTTTTTTACCAGTGATTCTCAACTAGGGTTGAGCACCCTGACTTCCCTTGAGATCCTTTCAAGAGTGCTGTGGGGTGTTGCTCAGTGTTGGCATGTTAGGTGTACAAGCATGATTTGTAAGATAAACCAGAGTTTTCAAATAAGGCTGTGCAAAACAGCACCGTTTCATTTCAGCTTCCGTTTTGACGGGACAGTGTTTAATTTTGAAAGCATTGTTCTGTTTTGTTTTGTCGAAACTTTTGCTGTTTTGACATTTCACCCATAGGCTATAATGGGGAAGCACAAAACTTCCTATAACTTTGTCATTTGTTGGCGTCTTTGGATGAAAACAGCTGAGATGGTAGCCCCTTCTGAGGGCATGAAGCCTGCCAAGTTTCTAGGAGATAGGTGGAGGGGTTTCTGGGAAACTGCACCTCAAGCTGCTGACAAGCAAAACTTGTGACGTGTGTGGGTGTGTTACGGTGCACCCTCACTGGTGCTAGCACCTCTGTACAATACAGTAATGTGCCCCAATGAGTCTTCCTCCTCCCCTACAGCCTCAGTTCAGTCCACCACTTTACATAACAGCAGGTAATAATAACTTAGCAAGCGGCACAATAGCACCAGCAGCATCTTAGGCAGTCAAATTGTCACAGAGCCTTTCTTTCCTCTCCTGCAGGAGCTTCTTCTCCAGCAGCTGCCAGAGAGCTCTCTCTGCCAGCCCCAGCCCGGGGGCTTAGATGTGCCCAGGGCCCTGTGTCCTTCTGGTCAGCTGACTGGGGACAGGTGCTAGGGTGTTGGTCTAAGAACATGGCACTGGTAGACAAGGATCCTTGGGTCAATCTAATCTGGTATTTTGTAACAGACCGACTGAATAGTTACAGAAATGTATCTTAGCAACGTTTCAGGTTGAAAAACCATTTAACATGCTGAGGAAGCACCTGCAGTTGGTGTGTGTGCTGTTTCTGGATGGAAGGAATAGTAAACAAGCCAGAGGCTGGCCTGTCATGCGATGCAGGCAAGAAAGCCAGTCAGTTAAAATGGAAATGGAGGCATTAGGGGGTGAGGGACAGGCTGG